GGGGGCCCCCTCCCGCTCCTGCCCCCCGCGCCGCCTGCATCATGGCGTTGATAAATCGCCCCTGGCTCATTTACCGTTAGGGTCCTGGCCTGCACCCAGCCCTGGCTCCCTGGCGCGGGACTAACCAGGCTCTGAGGAGCAGCAGGGCGCACGCAGCGAGCACGCGGGGCCCAGCCCTGCACGCCGGCGTGACGCAGGGCCAGGGCCTTGCTTGAGAGCGGCTGGAGCGCGAGCGGCAGGTTGATGCCGATGGCTTCGGGTGCAGCGCTCAGCCCCAGCCGCCTGCCCCGCCTGCTCCCGGGGGGCTCCCGGCCATCAGGACATCCCCGTCCCTGCAGCCTGCAACCGGGGCAAGAGCGGAGCCGGTCAAGGCTCGGCTGCCCCCGGCTCCCTTGCACGGGGAGGCTCAGGCCGGGCCCTCCCCCGTCAGCAGGGCACCCCGATCCCAGACAGCCCCCAGGCCCCTCCACTTGGCGCCCCCCGGCCGTCGCTGCAGCGTGTGCTGGGGTCGCCGTGCCTGGACTTGGGCCGCGGCAGGAGCCGAGTGCCCCATGCACCCCGGCACGGATAGGGAGGTGCTCAGGGGCCCAGGCCTGGGTCGTGCCTTGTGATGGGCGCTGCAGCCTGCTCCCCGCGCGGCGTCATGCCCAGGGCCGGGGGGCCGCAGCCCACCCGCTCTGCTCCAGCACCTGCGAGCAGCGTGGGGAGACGGGCAGAGAGTGATGCAGAGGCCAGAGCGTACCTACCACCGGGTCCCCTCCAGTGAGTTTACCTCCCACCAGCCCCACGGCAGCTCCAGGAGGGGCGAAGCCTGCCCTTCGAGGGTGCAAGCGCTCGGGGCAGGCCCTGGCACCCACCTGAGCCTGGCCCAGTGCAAGGGGGCTGGGGCTGGGCCGTGCGGCAGGCGCAGGGAGCCCAGGAGGGGCTGGAGCAGGTGGGAGCCCTGCAGCCAAGCAAGTGCCAGGGCCGGGGGCAGCTCGTCGCCCAAGCCCTTCCTGGCTGCAGCTGGGCCAGGCTCCAGCCTGCATTGCTAAAGGCCCTGTTCAGCCAGGGGCTTCCTCGCCAGGGACCACCCTGCCGCTGCGTGGTGCTGGGAGAGGAGGGTGGGCAACACCGGCTGATAGCCAGCAGTGCCCGCAGCTGTCTTCCCTCCAGGGGTGTCAGGAGCCTGCTGAGCACCACTGCCCTGGTCCTTGCAGCACCCGGGACCCTTCCCCACCCCATGGGGCTGGGTCCCACCACCCCTCTAGTGCAAAGGGCAGGGCTGCAGGCAGCTCACCCAGGAGAGCCCCAGGCAGGGCACATGGGGGGCACAGCTCTGTACTGAGAGGGTTGCTCGCAGTCACAAGGACAGTGCCTTGGGGCCCGACAGCTGCCTGCTCCCCTGCATGGTCGGTGTCTCGGAGAGGGGTGCTCCCAGCAAGGCTGGACCCCAGGACACGCCGCCGGGGCAGAAGGGGCTATGGCTGCAAGGAGTCAAATGGATCGCTAACTGGCTGGAGGGCCGCACCCAGAGAGGGGTGGTGGATGGGTCCTATTCGACCTGGAGGGATGTGGGCAGTGGGGTCCCCCAGGGCTCGGTCCTCGGACCCACGCTGTTCAACATCTTCATCGGTGACTTGGACGAGGGGGTGGAAAGCACCTTGTTCAAATTTGCCAATGACACCAAGATGTGGGGGGGATGTGGGCACGCTAGAAAGGAGGAACAGGCTGCAAGCGGACCTAGACAGGTTACAGGGGTGGGCAGATGAGAACAGGATGGGGTTCAACACTGACAAGTGCAAGGTGCTGCACCTGGGGAGGAAGAACCAGCAGACCTACAGGCTGGGGAACTCCCTTCTCATCGGCACAGAGGCAGAAAAGGATCTTGGAGTCATCATTGATGCCAAAATGAACATGGGCCGACAGTGTGGGGACGTGGTCAGTAAGGCCAACTGCACCTTGTCATGCATCCACAGATGCATCTCGACCAGGTCCAAGGAGGTGATCCTCCCCCTCTATGCGACACTGGTCAGGCCGCAGCTGGAGTACTGCGTCCAGTTCTGGGCACCGCACTTCAGGAGGGATGTGGACAGCATGGAGAGGGCCCAAAGGAGGGCCACCCGCATGATCGGGGGCAGCAGGGCAGGCCCTACGAGGAGAGGCTACGGGACCTGAACCTGTTCAGCCTCCACAAGAGAAGGCTGAAGGGGATCTAGTGGCCTGTTACAAACTAGTCAGAGGGGACCAGCAGGCATTGGGGGAGTCCCTGTTCCCCCCAGCACTACCAGGAGTGACTAGAAATAACGGTCACAAGCTGGCAGAGGGTAGGTTCAGGCTAGACATCAGGAGGCGCTACTTCGCTGTCAGGGCGGCTAGGATCTGGAACCAACTTCCAGGAGAAGTGGTGCTGGCTCCTACCCTGGGGGGCTTTAAGAGGAGGTTAAATGAACACCTGGCCGGGGTCGTTTGACCCCAGTACTTTTTCCTGCCATGGCAGGGGGTCGGACTTGATCTGCTTAGGTCCCTTCCAACCCGACCACCTATGAAACTCTGAGTCAGGGAGTTGCAGCAACCGGGAGATCCAGTGGCTTCTTTGCTTGCCTGGCACCCAGCCTCGCCCCGCAGCAGGGGTCTGGCAGCCCCTCCCTGGCTCCAGTGCCAGGAATGGGACACGCACCCTAGCGTCATACTGTAGTGCGGGGCTGGGTGCAGGGCACCTGCTTCCCAGAGCGGGAGGATGCCGGGGCCACAGGGATGGCACCATGGTGCCAGGGGCAGCCTGAGCCAGCACCAGCTTTTCAGGAAGGGCAGAGGGCGGTGGGAGGCTCAGAGCAGGCTCTGTTCAACCCCAGCCACACCTAGGACTGCAGCCGGCGTCAGGGCCAGGCGTGTGGGAGCCGGGGGGCTGCCCTGTCCTTGCACAGCCCCAGGAGAGCTGCGGTTTGGAGCCCTGGTTTGCAGCAAGGGGCAGTGGCTGCTGCAATAGGGACCCTCCCGTATGCCAGCACTGGGCACTGCCACGGCATCTGTAGGTGTCACCTCCTCTGGGTTGGGCAGCAGGAGAGATGCCCTGGGCCCCTGGTACCCGTGCTGAGCCGCATCCCATGCCCCATGCCTGGCTCCAGCCCCTTCCATGCTCACTTCCCCCCCCGGCAGGCAGCCGGCCAGGCCACAGCAGGGCCATGGATGCTCTGATGGGCGGCACGTGGCTGCCTCCCCCCTCGGGTGCCGCGCGCTGAAGGATCAGACGCTATGCAGGCAGAAGCTCCAGACAAGCCGGAGCCAAGGTGCCCAGGCGAGCTGCAGCCTCCCCTCCCTCCCGCGGGCACACAGGAGCTGGGCGAGGCGGGCGGAGGCCGAGCACGGGGCTGGCGTTTATTTGCTGCAGGTCTCAGTGCGAGGGGACAAGGCCGCGGCCAAACCAAAAACAACAAAGTTCAGATGGGAATAAAAACCCTGCCGCCGACGCCACCCCGGGGAGGCCTCCACGCACGTAGCACCGCCCGTACAAAATAATCTACAAGGAGGAAACTATACAGGAATATGTACACCTCTGATAAATAGACTAATACTGATGGGGCCCTGTGCCCAGTGCTGGGGTTGGGGCTGGGCGGCTGCCAGGGAGCCGGGCGCCCCAGGCCACGCAATGCGGGCCCCAGACCCGCCCCCAGACCCCTGACCCTGGTTCCAGTTTATCCCCTTGTTCCCAACACTGCCTTGTGCTAGCTGCAGAGTCCTGGCTGCCAGGACCCCCCCACACCCAGAGCAAAGCCCCTCGCCGCTGCCCAAAGAACCACCCCGGGTGCGGGGGAGCCGTGCGGAGCGTGCCTCTCTCCAGCCACGCGCAGGATGCCTGCTGGGCACCGCTGCTGCTGCCCCCGCCAAGCACCAGCCCTCCCGTGGGTCCCCGGCCAGAGCATGCCCAGCTGCCCCCATGGGGCGTCCTGGAGCCCAGGGCGGTTGCGCCCTCTACAACGAGGACAGCCGCAGGCGGGGCCTGCCCCCTGGCCCCGCTCCCCCAGCTCCCGTAGTCGCCCGCTCGTCACCATCCAAAGTGCCCGGAACACAAGTGCTGTGACAAGCCCGGGGGGACTGTGGCCCTGGGGCACTGTGCAGCTGCCCCCCGCCTGGCAGAGGGCTCTCCCCCCCACACTGGTACCCGAGAGCTGGCAGTGCCTCCGTCCCACAGCGGCAATGCAGGGGCAGTGCCCGCTAGGCCGAACCCAGCACCTTCCTGGATCGGGCCCCACAGGGCAGAGCGAGCCAGGCAGACCCTGCAGGCACCGCGAAGGGAAGTCTCTCGCAGGGCTCCAGGGACAGAGCAAGGGGCTCCAGGGAGGCAGCCTGATGCCCAGGCCGGGCCTGGGAAGACGTGTCCTTGGGAGGAGGCAGCTGCAGGCTCAGCAGCCCAGTGCGGTCCAGTCCAATCCAGTCCAGTTTCGTGCAGAGCGCGGTGTCTCCACTGCTCCCAGCCCCAGCAGGAAAGAAATTGCAAAAGCAGAAGCGAATCCCTGGGAAGGCAGCGGGGCCGCAGGAGAGGCCGCAGCGCCGGGTGCAGGTGCCTGTGGGCCAGGCCCGTCTGGCTGGGCTGCTAGTGTCTCTTGGTGGAGGACACTTTCTTCTTCCTCGCCGCCAGCATCTCGTAGAAAGGGTCCCTGCTGATCGCCGCCCTGGGACAGGGAGAGGGAGCGTGACTGGAGAGCTGGGGGCAGCTCCTCCCCGGGGAAGGATGCCGAGGACCGGGACAGACTGGCACCCACGAGACCTGCGTGCAGCCTGCGCACAGACCCCCCGACCCCGCGCAGCCCTGGCCAGGGTACCTGGGCCAGACCCTGCCCTACCACGGGGTGGCCAAGAGGCACTCGGCATCAGAGGGCATCCTGCTGCTTCTGCAGCCCAGGCCCGTGGAAAGCAGATGAGGAGGAGGAGGAGGAGGAGGAAGAGAAACCCCCACCCAGGCCCGGCCCAGCCAGGGGACCCTCACTTGATGCACTTCATCCACTCCTCCTTCTCCTCGGGGGTGGGGGCCGAGATGCGGTACACCGTGTGGTTCCCCTCCACCACGCGTCCGTCCGCCTCCGTCTTGCAGGCCTTGATCACCTGGTCCTTGTTGTCCGGGATGTAGAGCTCGAAGCAGTTCTGGGCAGGGAGAAGCAGCGTCAGCCGGACACAGGGGCAGGGGGCGGCGCGGATGCCCCGGGACGTGCCGTGACCTGGGCTCACGCTCTCCTCCCATGCCTTCCCCTCGGGGCAGACCACGGCCAGGCCCTGCCGCCCGGCCCAGCGCTCCCTCCCTGCTCACGCACCGGCTTCTTGGAGTCCTCCACCTCCCGGATGCTCAGGTTCTCCAAGGGGATGATGCCCCGGGGCTCCTTGTCCTGCAGGGCAATGCGGAGGGAAGGGGGCAGCTGCAGCCTAGAGCTGTCCACAGAGGCCCATGCCCGCTTGCCCCCACAGCCCCAGCCCAGCCCAACCCCGACCACTTGTGGAAACCACACTGGCCACGGCATGGGCTTCCCCCATGCAAAGATCCAGCGCCCCATGGCCCCCGAAAGCCCCTCTGCCCTGTGCCATCGCCCTGCTCCCAGCACAGTGTGGACATCCCTGCACAGCACGGGGCAGAGACCCCTGCTCCCCACGGCAGCAGCTGCCCCGTGGGGTTCGGGGCTGGGCAGCCTTGAGTTGCACCTGGCGACAGGCCCCGCAGGGCAGGGCGCTCACCGTGGTGTACTCGAAGTAGTACAAGCAGTTGTCGGTCAGGATGAACCAGCGGCGCTTCCACGTCTTTACCCTGCCACCTGCCAAGCAGACACGGGTGGTCGGCACGGGCACACGGGCAGGGCTGGGGCCCTGCCCAGGCGACGGCCGGACGGAGCCGCTGACGGACACGCAGCACAAGACAAGCGCCTCGCGGAGCCACGGGGAAGCAGAGCAGCCAGCCCCAGCCCCAGCAGCAGGCAGTACGACGCCACGCCGGGCAGGCCACGAGCAGCAGCGAGAAGCAGGTCGATGGTGATGAGGGGAAGGAGGGCGCAGCGGGGCAGGAGCCAGGACGTGGAGGTGCCATTGGGAGCCTCTATCCCCGGAAAAGGCCAGAAGGCCAAGCCACAGCATGGTGCAAATAGCAACAGGGCTGAGCCAGCCACTGCCTGGAGCATGGCTTGCCTGCATCACAGCTTGGCCCCGGGGTGATACAAGGCACCTGGGGGGGACCCCGTTCCTAAGCCAGCGATCCCTGCCTCAAATGCAGGCCATGCCAGCCACGGGAGCTGGGCCCGTGTGAAGCACGCTGAACAAATGCCGAGAGCCAAGGCCTGCGCCTCCCAATGTGGCTGGGCGACACGGGAGGAGACCGGCTGCCCCAAGTGCCACACCGCAGCATGGCACACATCCTGCCATGAGCCTCTGCCAGCAGGCAGGACTGGTCCCACAGCACAGCGAGGCAGGTCCTATCCCAGCTGGTGCCCTCGGAGGCGGCCTCGGGGCTGGGTCAGAGCCAGTGCCCCTGGCCGGGAGAGACAGCCAGCCGGCACCTCGACGGGGCAGCTGCTGCCTGCCCGGGCTCAGCACGCCCCTGACAGTGCTGGGGCCACGGAGGCTTTCTGGGAGCACGGAGGGGACTTACCATGGGAACAGGCTCTGGGCAGAGGCCTGGTGCCCTTCATCCCACCCCACAGGCTCCCGCAGATGGACACCG